CGTGAAAAACGGTGTAAAATTGAGCTATTTACAACCCATTCAGGCGTTTCATATTTTAAAATATTTCTTTGTGACTTTTATAAACTTGTAGCATTAATTTGTCCGAAGAGAATCTATCTCAAAATTAGTTTGTAATATGAGCAGTTGCCGAGAAATAGTCAATTTATCAAGTGTCACTTTTTACGCTATTTTGCCTGTAAAAGAGTCAATTATTATTAATGAATATTTTTTGATGATATTTTATCCAGGGCTAAAGGGTCGTCTGATTTGAGCGAAGATGTCAACAATTTTTGTCGAAATAATTTTTCTCGGCCGCTATTGGCTAATTCAGTTTTACGCTCCTAGATTCATTAATGATCGTTCGATTTGTTTGAAACAAAGTTCATATGCTCCGTTTTCCAAAATGTCATTTTTTTTGTTACCGATAAAGTTTCCTGTCGACACCGGAAGTGACATAATTTCAACAAAAACTATAATTTTGATAGTTCAGTACCACTTTTTGAAAGCAAATATTATTTTTTCAAAATTTGATATTACTAAAAGGATGTGCCATGCAAAAGCGCACGACAAAGGTAACGACAATGATCCAAAAACCGGAAGTAGTCGAAAAAATGTCCGATATTTTGAGAAAAAAACCCATAAAAAGTAAAACAAATGGTGATCTTGCGAAAAAAGTGATTACTACGTAAGATTTCAAAACAACTAAAGTGCCATTGGATAGCCCGAACAATGACATCTAAATGGTAAAAATTCGCTGGTTAGGCAATATATAATGGGACGCTGAAAATCTAGTATTTTCATTTTTGGGGACTATTCAGATGCTTCATCCCGAACACTTCTCTTTTTTCCTTTCTTAAACTTCTGTTACTTAGAGTCCTACCCATGGTCTGGGCTGTGAATCCAAATTTAAAAGCCTATATATAATATAATATAGTATAAATGGTCCAAAAAGGGCCACAATCTTTGAAAAAAGTTGAAAAATCGTTATAACTTCTTCTAATGGTCTAATGGTATGAGGGAGATAACACATTGGTATCAGACTACCAATTATTTGCTAAATATTGTTAAATATCTCCTTATTTTCCTTTCTTTTAAAAACTATCCAATGGATCTTTCTGAAACTTCTGGTACAATGATCCGTAAACCGGAAGTAGTCGAAAAAATATTCGATATTTAAAAAAACCCAGTAAAAATCGGTGCTCTTGCACACCGTCGGGTGTGACCGCATCAACACATCTAATGTATCGTTTTGTAGCTCGATGAATGGGCTATTGTATGACAAACTTCCTGTCTGATTCCTGAAAGCCGGTTCAGTGCTGCTTGCAGGTCTAGTTATTATTATTTTTTTTCCACTTGAGTATATCTCAGAAACTATTTGTCGGATCAACTCGATGATTTCGGTTTTACTGGGAAAGTGGGTGTGACTTAGAGAGTAAAGCTATTTCGATTTTTCTGTGAGGTTTTTTGAAATATTGCCGTAATATTTGATACATTTTGACATAGCCTGAGACATGGCAAATAGCCACGATTGTTTAGATTTTTGATTTTCGATTATTCTTCGAAGATATTAGGCGCCAAATTTTAAAAATTTAAATTTTGACAAAAAACATTTTTATTTATGAATATTTTTTTTTTATGGCGCTTTACCTATAATTAAAGGGTCATGTGATATAAGCAAAAATATGAAAAAAAATTGTATTGATAATTCACCTTGGCCGCTATTGGCTAATTCAGTTTATGGGTTCTAGGCTAATTATTTATTGCTCGATTTGTATAAAACAAAGTTCATATGCTCAATGGTGCAAAGTCTCAACTTTTTTATTACTGATAAAGCTTTTTGTCAGCAGCAGAAATGACGTAATTTTGACCAAAACTACAATTTTGGCAGTTAGGAACGTCTTTTCGAAAGCAAGTAAGTAAAAATTAAGAAGTTGCGCCATGTAAAGGCGCAAAAAAAGTCGGAAGCAGTTTTTTTTTAATTTCGATTTCATTTTTGCGCCATTTCGATTTAAACGTGAAAAACGGTGTAAAATTGAGCTATTTACAACCCATTCAGGCGTTTCATGTTTTAAAATATTTCTTTGTGACTTTCATAAACTTGTAGCATTAATTCATACGAAGAGAATCTATCTCAAAATTAGTTTGTAATATGAGCAGTTGCCTAGAAATGGTCAATTTATCAAGTGTCACTTTTTACGCTATTTTGCCTGTAAAAGAGTCAATTATTATTGGATTATCATAAAAGTGATACCAATTGACGCGTAATGTCCATTGTGACTAGGTCAAACCAATTTAACATTTTCAATATCATCGGAAATGACGTAATTTGGGCAAAAACTATATTTATAGCTTTCGAAACAAATAAGTTATTCAGATGAGTCGTATTTGTTATTTGTTTAAAATTTGGATATTTGATTTCAATCAACTAATAGAATGAACCCATGGGATCATATAGATATCATAAAATGGTTTCTAACTTGTTCACTTTTCATATTATTCGATTTTCATAAAATTTTCACTGTGTGATACCTAATGCCATTTACGATTTCATACAAGTAATTTAAGATTTTCATTATCACCGGAAGTAACGTCATTTTGGCAAAAACTGTATTTTTAGCCTTCAAAACAGATATTTTATTCAAATGAGTCTGATTTGTAATTTTTTTAAAATTATGATATTTGATTCAAATCAACAAATAGATTGAATCCATACGATCATACAGATACCAAAAAATGGTTTCTAACTTGTACGGTTGCAGAGAAATAGACGTTTTTTCTACAAGTCACTTTTCAAGGTTTTTGGTCTATAAAAGTGGCAATTATTATTTGATTTACATGAAAATTTCACCATGTGATGCCCTATGCCATTTCTGATTTCATAAAACTGATTGAACATTTTCATTATCACCGGAAGTACTGTACACTTACATGTAACAAATGTATAAAATGAATTGATATTGCTGAATTTGGTTGATTCGGCGTCCATTTTATTTGATGTGTACAATGCTTATGTGGAAACCTGTTTAATGGTTTCATTGGTACCGGAAGTAACATATGTTTAGGGTAACGTGGCATCGGTGAAACCCGTCATTACTGCTTCGCATTTCTAGTGATGATTGTTTATACCAAAAAAACAATCATCCAACAGGTTGGCCGTTTTATTTTCCACATAGCTTGTGTTGAGTGGCCATCCAGTCCCACATCTGACGATAAAGGATAAAGCACACGGGCCTAGAAACTTTTCTCATTAAAAGTGTTGATTTACAAAAAAAATGATGTAGCTGAGCCGCCCCTGTTGCTATATGATAATGTTCCTTAAACTAGCAAGCCAATAATTTTATAAAAACCCTGGGGCTCTAGAGAGGTTAACCACAGCGGATCTCTTTCGAGTGATTAGATTGATTTTAAGAACTTGCTGGGGGTCGCTACCAACGTTGTTTATCAACATAGGGAAATGATTCCTCGATATTAATCTCCAGTTATAAAAATCATGTTATGAGTAAAAATACAAATACCATCTCCAACAGTGATGGAAAATTCGCACGGACAGCGACACTAAAGTCTCAAACTGTCAAGGGTTCTTTTACGTGCACGACAATGTATAGACGAGACTTCGTTTTATGCCCCCACCCAAACCACTAGACACTTTCAAATGTAATATTATGTATGGATAACATTTATATATTTAATTATGTTCCAACTATGTCATTCAAAGAATTGACTAGACGCTTTTCCATGCGAAACCCCTGGCACTGTACTACTGACAAGCCAAATCCCTGGCACTGCTTTACTGGCTACAGAAACCCCTGGCACTGCTTTACTGGCTAGCGAAACCCATGGCACTGCCCTACTGGCACGCGAAACCCTCGCTGAAATATCTAGTGGAATTTCATGGCCAAGACTGGGATCGAAACTGGGACCAGCCTTTTTTATCCTGAGCATTAGAAAATTATGTTTTTAAACCTTTTATGAAAAGACCAAACTGGCAAACGCTTTGTAATAATTTTCAGTAATTGGCTGCAACTTCCATTGTACAAACTATTGTAGGTTGCAAAACAAGCTTAGAGTTGTACATGAGTTAAGGTATGTTTACTCTTTCTAACTATGAGTTGTACACGAGGCAGTGTATGTTTACTACTTCTAACTATGAGTTATGCACGAGGCTGGGTATGATTAATCTTTCTAACTATGAGTTGTACACGAGGTAGGCTATGATAACCCCATTCTAACTATGAGTTGTATGGTTACTCTTTCTAACTATGAGTTGTTGTACACGAGACAGGGTATGTTTACTACTCTTAACAATGAGTTGTATACGAGGCAGGGAATGATTATCACTTTTAACTATAAGTTGTACAGGGGGCCGTATTGGCTCAGAAAGTAAGGCACTGGTTCGTTAACGAGGAAGATCCGTGTTCGATCCTGGTGGTTGTCGAAAAATTTCATCGGAATTTGACGACGTGGATCCTCATGTCAGTGGAACAAGATGGCGGGCCTGGCAAGGGACAACGTATAATCGTTGGATGGGTCGAAAAACTGGACACCTGTAAACACATTGGTGTGCATTAAAAGAAACCTTGTCAGTTGCAATTCGAAATAGGTCATGGTGCCGCTGTCCGGACAAAATTGTCCTCACGGCACACTTTATGGCGTATGTCCGTCTTCATTAGCCCTGTCAGTGTAGAACAGTAGGACTTTAAACCCCATTTTCATTTCACAGTGCATAGTGTATGTTTACGTCTTCAAACTTACACCTTATATTTTTTACAAATGCCTCAAGATCATCAAGACCGAAGGTAGAGGGCGACTTGCGTTCTTCTCATTGTGAGGTTTAATGTCAAATCATGTTTACTTTTAACACAGGTAAAAGTGGCCGATTGAATTGTACAATCCCCACCCACCCCCTCACACCCATGCCCACACCCCACCATAATCCGGGTAGGCATGGTAGTCCAAATCATACAATACACGAGTACATATTTTTAATATTATTTGTTTGTATTTAAGGTCAGTTGTTCCGTTACAAAACCAGATTAAATTAAATGGGTTAAACGTCTATCTGTGCCAATGAAAATGGGAGCTTCGTTACAGAAACAAAAGGCAGATAATTTCTACTTCTGGTGGCTAGTGTCAATAATTACAACGACTGTTTCATGAGAGAGATACAAATATTCTATTCTTAGCAAAAGATGTACAGAATTTTATAAGATAGAACTAACATATTAACAACCAAATAATAACAAGGTACTTTTTATGGTGAATTGTATTAAATGTAACCGAATCTGGAATAACAATATATTAGTATTGTCTCTCAGTAGAAATACTCAGCCACTTATTAACTCACGACCCAGGGTAGGGTTAATGTTTGCAGAAAATAGGTAAGGGACCGATGTGTGAGCAGAATACAGTTTTAAAACCTGTATTTCATGACAATTTCATTCGTGTAATACATCACAAAATTACATTATATTATTAATTGTTACACTTTGCGATATTATTATACTACCGACTGAGCCGTCGTAAATAATAAACTAATTTTGTCCAGTATGAACAAAAGGAAAGAGATTTCTCCATATAATAATAATAATAATAATAACCCAAAAACGTAGTAACTTCACCATATATCAAAATAACCCAAATAGCCATAAAATAATATTAATAATATTAAAACACAAACAGAGAAGGGGTTTCTCAATATAATAATAATAATAATAATAAAATCAAGTAGCGAAGGGGTTTCTCCATATAATAATAATAATAAGAGCAAAAATAAAGCCAAGCGATAATAATAGTAATGACCCAAATAGGAAAGGGATTTCTCAATATGATGATAATAATAATAATAATAATAAGCAAATATGGAAGGGATTTCTCCATACATAATAACCAGAGTAACAAAGTCATATCTCCATATGTAATCAGAATAACGATGCTGACCATGTCGTTAACGCAGCCGATCTGCGCAAGCTTAAACTCCTGAAAAATAAAAAATATAATTTCATATACATCATCAATAGCACATTCCATAAAGTGTTTAATTTTTGTTATGTTTTTTTATGCAGTTTGTTACATGGTATCATTAGCCGGTATTCGAAGAATGAATACGTATAGCAATACGATAAAACACGAAATAAGACGATTCAACATGATACAAGTATTAAAAGTGATTGGCATAATAAATATAATCTAATACAACGATTCTTTATGTCACCTTCAAGAGTACAGACGGTCGTGCACGGGACATTAGACATATTTTCACTTGCAAAAATTAATAACAAAATGGATACCGGTACAATATAAAATATGAACTATTAAGAAAACGAAAAACGAATTGATTTTAATAAAATTGGTTTACAATAATCACGCCATAAACAGAATTTCTGTGGTCAGTATAAAATTCTAAATTTAATGTAATACGAGATTCTGTGTATTTGGTAAATGGTAATAGATTTGATTGAAAGCTTTATCGTAGGGGCGGACTGGGGGCCAGAGACCCCCGAGCCTGTCCCGGTTAGGGGCCCCACTATAGGCGAGACACAGAGGTCTTTCCACCGTGCTGTAGAAAATGTTTGGAAAACTGACAGTAAATGGTGCTTTCTGGAGTACATTTTGGGTACCAAACCTCGAGAGACCGCTTTGCTAACCAACTTAGAAAAAATAACGTAAATTCCAGATGTAAAGATATACTGTATTATACTTATAAAATTAATGAATAATTTAATTTACCTGGACATCCTCCCTCGACAAATATAACATCATCTATAGCCATATCTGATCTTATGCCAGATCCTCTAACTCCTTCGAATACAATCTAAAACACAATGTAATATTTCAAAGAATCGTAAAACTTTTAAGTTTTGACATCTACATATACTAGGAAAAAAGTTTGAGGAGTTCAAATGGCTGACTTTTGTTCTGTAGTATTAACAGCTACGTGTTCTATTTGGGGGAGAGATAGAAATGGGGTTTAACGTCTACTCGGAAATAACATATTGTTCAATGTATTCGCTTTAGTAGTGTGTGTGTGTGTGTGTGTGTGGTGTGGTGGGTATGGAGGATAGGTGATTCTACTCCTTGTCGCAAACAAGCGGGAATTCGACATCACACCACTTGACTCATTGACACTCGTTGAAACATTCGGCCACACAAACGGCATATAATGGCTAAATGGTCTTGTGTCCAAACATTAGCATGATCATCTTCGCTTGTCCATAAAGCATCACCCATTTCCGTCCGATATATTTTAAAACTTATCGAATATTCAGGTCCTACGTGTGAAAGATGTATAGGAACTTACCGAATATGAAGATGGTATTCCTGAAATATTTACATAGCTTTGTCTCCAAACATCACCCTGGTCACCAGCTCTTGTCCATACAGCATCCCCCAATCCCGCCTGCTTTGTTTTGATATACACGTTGAGAACCCCTTGAAAATAAATATCAGTTGTTAAAATCATTTATTGAAGTCATGACCAGAAAAAGTATATTGTAAGGATTCGACTACAATGACAAAGGATGTTGTCATGCAGGGTCGGTGTCAAAATACAGAATAGATAATGTGACAGGCTGGTGTTACACAACGTATTAGTAGTATCCTGTCACTATAATGCCCTGTTCGAAATGTGCTAAGGGATGGATATTTGGTTTTAACCCAAAAATAAACTGTTCCGACAATCGGTCAATCATGATCTAAAAGTGAACAGATTCACAGTAATATCTGAAATGTGAATTCGTTTCTCGGTCCGTTCTTACCCATATCATCTCCAAACATATGATACATGAACGCCAAACATTGTGTAGATGTCAATTGGATAATTTCTGGACTCTCTATCCTCCCTGTCTGATTAATTGTGTCTCCCAGGGATGCCTCGATATATATGTACGATCCATCTGGAATAGAATCAAACAAGAAGAATTTCATTTGTCTGGTTAGATTTTAAAGATAAGCCATTAAAAATTGGTGTGCGTTTATTTAACATTGTATCATATTTTTTGTCCTGCATATGTTACCTTGTCTGTCTAACTGTCCTTTTATTTAACATTGAATCATATTTCTTACAGCACGTGAACACTTCGCTGTTTTTCTGTAATTCATCAATTTTAGCAGCCGTTAAAAAACAAAATCTTACCGCCTGTAGGATCACTTTGGGGTCCTGCCCTATTTGTGGGTGTTGGGCCGTTGTTTCTTAACCAAAGAAGAGAATTGTCAATCGTCTGTTGGAATGCACAGTAACTATCATCAAAATTACAATCAATCTCTATTAATTATTAATAAAAACATTATTTAATAGAAAATCATCACCATGTAACTGACTGTCATTCATTTATCAAAGACATTAATACTTTGCAAGACAAACGAATGCAATTGTAATATTCACCAAGGGAGATACATATTAACGTATAGTAGTTTTACTTTCTCAATTAAATGATAGCAATAACCAAGCGATCTGTGACATGAATTGTTCACATATATGTTTTTCGATAATAATAAATCAGAGACTTGGTATTTAAATGTGATTTTCTTTATACAAGCGCTAAGCAGAACCAACTTACTCTCGCAAAAGATTCCTGGAAATGTAGGAGGACAGTTACAACTCACACCACCTTCTGATGGATAACAAGTGCCATTATTTAAACAGGGGTTGTCTACATCACAGATATTTACTGAAATTGAATTTAAGAAACGAATGTTGGCCTCATGGGGAGTTATTAAAATTAAATGTAAGAAACGTATGTTTGTGTTATTAGATTAAAGTTTGCTTTCATACATGGTAACACTGCTGATATATGATCTGCACAAGGCATGATCAGGCGCACAAGAAAAAAAAATACAGATCTGGTGAAACTATTGCTCATCCGTTCCACAAAACAAACATGGTAGTTCGACTAGGTATAACAATTCTCTCTTTTTGTCTGTTCACCCCTTTTGTATGTTATTTGTTGGTAATAGCATCGAAGAACGGGATTTAACGTCCACTCGACACAAATAAGGTATTTCGGGACTAACGTATGGTTCAATTTTACTCCAAGTCGCTTGCGCGTAGGGGTCTTTAGCAGCAGGAGGAAACGGGAGGACCCGGAGAAAACCCACGAGGTTGAACAGGCGACCCTACTCCTCGTCACATACAACCAGACCAGTTAACTCAATGACAGGCCTTATGATACAACGCCCACGCGCTAATTATTCGGCAATCAAACCCCCGAATATTTATGACATTGAGATAGTTGACTTAGGGACGATAACTATTATAACCTGAAATGGTAGTGCACCTTAAACGGTTTTATGGAATGGTACCCATTAATAAGACAAGAATTTACGAGCACGGCTCTAAAGGTTATCGATGGTCACCCTATATAACTAAAATGTAGCTCACCGTCACAGAGTTTACCGAAAAAACCAGTAGGACAATTACAGCTGTAACTGTTATCAATTGGTGAACACGTACCACCATTTTCACAAGGATTAGGTTCACAGACAGGCACTAGAATTAAAGAGGATAGTCGTTTCTCACAGCTATAAAATACACATTTAATCGGACCAATTTCCTATAGTTATACTAAAAGTTTAACAGTCCGAGAAACGTTTAGTCAATTGAATATTATGTAATACGGCATTCCCCAATGTGTAATCGCCGAAGCAAATCATTATGGTGAAGGAGTGGTAAAGTAGACATTCAGTTTTCAACATTGTGCTTAGAAACCCAAAAGAGCGACACCTTCTCTTGTTTTAATCCGATTGAATACAATTCGGGCGATTATCTAACATTGGTTATTTGATTTTGTTTTCTTCATTAACTGTCCAAATAACAATCTGAATACATTAGCGTTGATTAAACCTTGAGAGATTTCATATTTTCCGCAAAAATACAAATCAAACGTAAGTAATTACTATTCTTAAATCATTTGTTAAAGGTTATAAATATAGCTGGCCGTTATATATAATAGGGATATAAACACATTCTGATCACTGTAACTAATTCATTAGATATATAACACACACGGACCATTGCAGCTACTGACCGCAATGGGGACCATTTCAAAATTTGTTTTGTATTTACTTGCAGATGGGGTATTGAGCCTTGCTTTTTTCTTAATGCCAGATTGGCATACTAACTGAATTAAACAACAATGCTGGTTAATATCAGTTAATAAGAGTACATACCTTTACAGCATTTCGGGCAGAAGTTTTCTCCTTTTATTTCACAAGTATCAAATTCCATTGGCGTAAAAAATCCATTACAGGTCTTAACAATTTTGTCTCCACTATTTGTTACAATATATGCTACAAAAATAAACGTTTGCATAGAACAGAATCCAACCATTTTTAAAACAATAGAACTACACTAGTTTTTATATTTAAAACTGTATGTACTGAACAGAATTACCAGCGGCTGCCAGGCAGGATACGCCCACATTTTCGAAAGATGGATAGAGAACAAGCTAACAAGAAAGTGATTTTTCCTACAATCAAGGGCCATAATTCAGGAAATTACAATTCGATATGCGCATATATCGAAAGGAACTGAGATCATTGTGTTATAAACTTACATTTCAAAATTGTGACCTCTATAGGGTCCACAACCTTGATATACCATATTTTTACGCTATTTGAGAACGAACGGCGGCCATTTTGTCTGTCAATTTTGGGGCGATTTTCACAAAATTCGAACTCAGCCGTCCTTATGGTGTAACGGTGATATAATAATACGTTTTTTTAAATCGGATAAAAATTATGACCTCTATTGGGTCCACAAGCTAAAAACATGATTTTTCGTACAATCAGGGGCCATAATTCAGGAAGTGACGGTCCGATATGGGCAAATATTGAGAGGAACCGAGATCTTTGGGTTATAAACTGATATTTCAAGTTTCAACAAAATCGGATAAAAATTGTCACCTCTATAGGGTCCACAACCTTGATATACCATATTTTTACGCTATTTGAGAATGAACGGCGGCCATTTTGTCTGTCAATTTTGGGCCGATTTTCATGAAATTCAAACTCAGTCGTCCTTAGGGTGTAACGGTGATATAATAATACGTTTTTTAAATCGGATAAAAATTATGACCTCTATAGGGTCCACAAGTTAAAAACGCGATTTTTCGTACACTCAGGGGCCATAATTCAAAAAGTTACGGTCCGATATGCACGAATATCGAAAGGAACCGAGAACTTTGGGTTATAAACTTACACCTCAAGTTTCAACAAAATCGGATAACAATTGTGACCCCTATAGGGTCCACAACCTTGATATACCATATTCTTACGCTATTTGAGAACGAACGGCGGCCATTTTGTCTGTCAATTTTGGGCCGATTTTCACGAAATTCGAATTCAGTCGTCCCTAGGGTGTAACGGTGATATAATAATACGTTTTTTTAAATCGGGTAAAAATTGTGACCTCTATAGTGTCCACAAGCTAAAAACGTGATTTTTTGTACAAACAGGGCCCATAATCCATGAAGTTTCGATCCGATACATGCCAATATCGAAAGCAGCCGAGATCTTTTGGGAATAACCTATATTTCAAGTTTCGTCGAAATCGGATAAGAATTGTGACCTGTAGAGAGTCCACAAACAATTGTGGATGGACGGACGGACAGGGGCGACGGCATAATACGTCCACATGAAAATGTGGGCGTATAAAAACATTTTTATGTTTAAAACTGTATGTATTCAACAGAATCCAACCATTTTTATGTTTAAAACTATATGTTTCGAATGGGATTCCACTATTCATCTTCATCTTAACGAAATGTTAACATAGTGTAACCCATGCATGAACCTGCCTTTTAAAGATGGGTTTTCAGCTATGAATATGCTGACATATTGTGTTAAAACTGTTGTTTCACGTTATATGTATTTGAATTGTAAAGAGCGTCTTGAAGCAGCTTATTAGCTGGAATACCCGGCCTATATACAAATCAAGTAGTGGTGGAAGTAGTATCCACTTTAGCTGCATTTAAAAGATCGTCAGGAAGTAACATGAAAATAGAAAACCAGTTTAAATCTTTTAGAGGAATTTAAGGCAAAGTCAGTAGACCTCATATCTGGCGGACAAGATCTCGTTAAAAATAATAATCAAAGTTTGAAAAAATAAATAAAACAAGCCAACAGTGAGGCTTATATTCCCCGCCGATATTTCAAAATAAATAGATGACACATATTAATTAATCGCACATTTATTTGTTTCCACTAAGTTTCATCACTCTCTATCAGATAGAATCAAGATGATCTTGTCCCAAACCATCGACAAATGAAATCGATTAGCTCTGCTTAGCTTAGCTTCAGCACGAAATGTTAATCACTGAACTCAATCAAGACATTCGCCTAATGAACATCTACATCAAGCTTAAACATTCACCTAATAGACACCTACGCCAAGTTTGAAAATTAGGCATTGGCCTAATAAACACCTACACAAAGTTTGGACATTCTTGCTCAATTAGAAAGTGAGTTATTGTCTTCCAAAGTCTGGCCAATCAAATTGCTTATGGCTCTGCTTACCCTGAGCAGAAAATGCTCATTATTGAACTTAGTCAAGGTATTGATGTAATGAAACTATACATCAAGTTTCATCACTCGCACTTAGTTAGAATTAAAGTTATCGTGTCCCAAAGTACCAACCAATCAAATTGCTTATCTCTGCTTACCCTAAGCCGAAAATGCTCATCTTCGAACTCCATCAAGGCATTGACCTAATAAACACATACACCAAGTTTGAACATGGAGTTTTTGTGTCCCAAAAAGTGTGACGGACGGACGAACCCATTTTAATAGTCCCCTTGCTTACTTCGAAAGGCGGGGGACGATAAATAAAAGGCATATATGAAAGACGAAATTCGGAATTTTGAAATTGTCAAACATCAAAACTTGAACCCCCGATCCCGGCTATCCAGAAATGTATTCATTCCGGAAATAGGAGGGCTATTCTTCAAACTAAGACCTATTGTGTTCATTTTTATCTGCGTTAACGTGGACTTTTCACTTTCTTCATATTCAATTCAAAATGGTGACCATCTGTTGACCGAATTCAACATTCTGCTCCGATCGATTTTTAGGATTCAGAAAATTTAACGCCCATGTCTGTAATTAAAATATCGCAAAGCCTTAGGTATTTTGTCACGTTTTAACTTCCGGTTAGATCGACAAACTCTTTATTTTGTGTACGCATCAGTAATGTCTTAGGCAGTACAGAAAAAAAATTCAAGTCATTCTGACCAACTTTTTTTATTGTTTCAACACTTTGTCCCTTAATTTATCCAAAGGAAAAAAGTTGGAAATTTCTAATGATAGCGTTGAAGTTGGATCCATGAGGTCTACTTACATTCCAAATTTCTTGAAAAGCGTACTTATATTAAAATTATCGTCAATTTGGTTTTATTAACGGGACGAAATGATAATGACTTAATTTTCGAAATTCGAAAATCAGATTAGCAGATTTGAAGTAAATGTTTCAAGTTACTCAAAAAAAAAAGAATAAGTGAAATAGCTCAAAAAGTCACAAAATTACAGCTATGTAGGTCAACCTTTTTATCTGTAAATTTCTGATTCGTAAAACGTTTGGAAAATATATTGATTCCAAAGCCACCACCCATTCTTGGAAGGAGGCTAACCAGAAATGTATTAATTTCCGGAAATAGGAGAGGAATTCACGAAACGGCGGTCGATTTCGATTATTTTCAGGTCGTTAATGGAAATTTGTCACTCGTAAACAACTTTGTCGACACGAAAATCGTGTAAGTCGAAATTTTGAAATATTCAAATACAACAATTTTGCCATGCGCCAGGCTATCAAGAAATGTATTAATTTCAGAAACAGGAGACGAATTAAAGCCGTAAATGTAGATTTTTCAATATTTTTCGTATTCAATTCAAAATGGTAATCAAAATTGGATTCAAATCTTTTAATAATTGCAACCAGTATATCATTTACAAAGACAATATGAACAAAAAGTGGGTGTGACACTGCCGAACGGTAAGGGGTATGGTGGAGAAGGGGGTCGTGCACCAACATCAATAGTTACCGTCCTTAGGGTAAAAGTATACCAAGTTCCAAAATAAACCATCCAGAATTGTGGTCTTCGGGCATTAAATGCAAAATCGGGCGTGGCTCTGCCCCTGGGGGTCGGGGCATTCATTAAAATAAATGGTTGAAGCCCTTGGGCTATAAGCAATACATATGCCAAGTACCAAGTTGATCCATTCAGAATTTGGGCGTGACGCTGCCCTTGGGGGTCGGGACATGCAGTTGTCGTCCTTAGGCTATATTAAGGAATACATATCCGAAGTTCAAAGACGACCCAATAAGAATTTTGGCCTGTAGGCAACACACAGAGAAACAAAGAAAACATGGGTGTGGCTCTGCCCCTGGGGGTTGGGTAATCATCAAAAAACAATAGAGGTCATCATTAGGGTATAAGGAATAGTTTCAAAAGGATCTGTTAAGAATTGAGGCCTGTAGGCAAAACACAATACACGCAAACATTGGGCGTGGCTCTGCACCTCAAACGATAGGAATGTTCCTTAGGGTACAAATAATAAGTATCCAAACTTTCAAGATGATACGTTAAGAATGCGGCGTGTAGACGAAAAAACAAACAAATACAAGAAATGGGCGTGACTCTACCCTTGGGGTTCGGGCATGTACCGAAAACAATAGGGATGATCCTTGGGGTATAGAGAATAAGTATGAAAAGTTTCAAGATGATCACTAAAGAATTCTGGCCTATAGGCGACCCCCCCCCCCACACACACACCATACACAGACAGGGGTGACGGCAATATATGTCCACATTATGAATTTTGACGTATAAAAATCGGTAAGTTTTTTAGTTCGTAAAATTCGGTGATCTCGGAAAGATCCTATGGTTAGATATAAGATTTACTTCCAGGACGAAATGGTAATGACGTAATTTAAGATATTCGTAAATCAGAAATAGCAGATTTGAAGTAAATGTTTCAAGTTACTCCAAAAAAAAAGAATTAGTAAAATAGGTCAAATAGTCACAAAGTTACGACTATGCATGGTCATTTTTTGGGTTCGTAAAATTCAGTGATTTCGGATTCTTAAAACGTTTTGAAAATATATTTAAACAATAGCGACCATGACAAATTTTTGAAACATTTTTATTTTGCTGGAACAATATTAGTTTATCCTATCATCTTGTAAGATGTGCGGAAAATATATTCTACAAAATATTATTCTGTAGTGTTTTTCACTTCAAGAGTTCCACAATATATTGGACTTTTTTTTCTTTCAAAAATTTCTTATCAGATCCCCAATATGCCTGTGTGGTACCACATTCCACAAAATTTTCGACTTGGAAAAATTTCATGTTTTGGGTTTGTGGTGTTGTTCACCACAAGAGTTCTACAAGATATTGGCAATATTTATTGTTGAAGTTTTGTAGTAAAAAACACAACAGACCCAAAAATTTTGTGGAATCTGGAACTGTTATTTTGTCTATGTCCAATTTCTTGTGGAACTCTTGTGGTAAAAAACCAGCTGCTGTCAGGCAGGATACGCCCACATTTTCGAGGGATGGATAGAGAACAAGCTAAAAAGAAAGTGATTTTTCCTACAATCAAGGGCCATAATTCAGGAAATTACAATTCGATATGCGCAAATATCGAAAGGAACCGAGATCTTTGGGTTATAAACTTACATTTCAAGACCGTTCAATAAAATCATATAAAAATTGTGACCTCTATAGGGTCCACAACCTTGATATACCATATTTTTACGCCATTTGAGAACGAAGGGCGACCATTTCGTCTGTCAGTTTTGGGCCGATTTTCACGAAATTCGAACTCTACCGTCCTTAGTGTGTAACGGTGATATAATAATACTTTTTTTAATTCGGATAAAAATTATAACCTCTATAGGGTCCACAAGCCAAAAAAACACGATTTTTCGTACAATCAGGAGCCATAATTCAGGAACCAAGACCTTTGGGTTAAACACTTACATTTCAAGTTTCAACAAAATCAGATAACCAGCGGCTGCCAGGCAGGATACGCGCACATTTTCCAGAGATGGATAGAGAACAAGCTAAAAAGAAAGGGATTTCTCCTAAAATCAAGGGCCATAATTCAGGAAATTACAATTCGATATACGCAAATATCGAAAGGAACCAAGATCTTTGTGTTATAAACTTACATTTCAAGTTTCAACAAATTCGGATAAAAATTGTGACCTCCATAGGATCCACAACCTTGATATACCATATTTTTTACGCTATTTGAGAACGAAGGGCGGCCCTTTTTGTCTGTCAGTTTTGGGCCGATTTTCACGAAATTCGAACTCAGCCGTCCTTATGGTGTAACGGTGATATAATAATACGTTTTTTTAAATCGGATAAAAATTATGACCTCTATTGGGTCCACAAGCTACAAACGCGATTTTTCGTACAATCAGGGGCCATAATTCAGGAAGTCACGGTCCGATATGCGCGAATATCGAAAGGAACCAAGATCTACGGGTTATGAACTTCCATTTAAAGTTTCAATACAATTGGATAACAATTGTGACCTCTATAGGGTCCACAACCTTGATATACCACATTTTTGTACTATTTGAGAACGAAGGGCGGCCATTTTGTCTGTCAATTTTGGGCCGATTTCCACGAAATTCAAACTCCACCGTCCTTAGAGTGTAACGGTGATACAATGATACATTTTTTTTTAAATCGGATAAGAATTATGTCCTCTATAGTGTCCACAAGCTAAAAACGCGATTTTTCGTACAATCAGGGGCCACAATTCAGGAAGTTACGGTCCGATATGCGCGAATATCGAAAGCAACCGAGATCTTTGGGTTATAAACTTACATTTCAAGTTTCAACAAAATCGGATAAAAATTGTGACCTCTATAGGGTCCACAACCTTGATGTACCATATTTTTTACGCTATTTGAGATCGAACGGCGGCCATTTTGTCTGTCAATTTTGGGCAGATTGTCATGAAATTCGAACTCATTCGTCCTTACGGTGTAACGGTGATATAATAATACATTTTTTTTAATTCGGATAAAAATTATGACCTCTATAGGGTCCACAAGCTAAAAACGCGATTTTTCGTACAATCAGGAGCCATAATTCAGAAAATTATGGTCCGATATGCGCCAATATCGACAGGAACCAAGATCTTTGGGTTATTAACTTACATTTCAAGTTTCAACAAAATAGGATAAAAATTGTGACCTCTATAGGGTCCACAAGCTAAAAACGTGATTTTTCGTACAAACAGTGGCCATAATCCATAAAGTTTCGATCCGATACATGCCAATATCGAAAGCAGCCGAGATCTTTTGGAGATAAACCTATATTTCAAGTTTCGTCAAAATCGGATAAGAATTGTGACTTGTAGAGTGTCCACAAACAATTGTGGACGGACGGACAGGGGCGACGACAATATACGTCCACACGAAAATGTGGGTGTATAAAAAACCCAAACCCAAAATACTCTATCAAAGTCGAAAATATAGTGAAATGTGGTACCACGCATTCATATATGGAAGGTTTGAGAGGATTTTTTTTTTAAAAAAAAATTGTTATTTTTTCTATGTCCAATTTCTTGTGGAGCTCTTGTGGTGAAAAACACCACGAACCCTAAACAATCTATCAAAATGATACAAGCATATAAGAAGGCGGGGGGGGGGTCTGAGAAGAATGTTTTGAAAAAAGTTGATTCCATTATCTTGTGGAATTCTTGTGGTAAAAAGACCACAGACCCAAAACATGTCGAACATTTTGTGGAATGTGGTATCACACAGGCGTATAGGGAGGCCTGAGAAGAATTTTTGGTAAAATTTTTTTTTTCTAAGTTAAATTTATTGTGGAACGCTTGTGGTGAAAACACCACAGACCCAAGTCGAAAATTTTGTGGAATGTGGTATCACACAGGCACATAGGGAGGTCTGTGGAACGTATGTGGTAAAAAACACCACAAACCTAAAAACACTGTATCAAAATTATTCTAAGTCGAAAATCTTGTGGAATGTGGTACCACACAGGCATATAGAGGTCTAAGGAGACATTTTGGAAACAAAAGTCCAATATCTTGTGGAACTCTTGTGGTGAAAAACACCACAGACTCAAAACACTCTATGAATATTATTTTAAGTCTAAAATCTTGTCGAATGTATTTGTTTTCAAAAACCCAATATCGTGTTGAACTCTTTGGGTGAAAACTTCACACAAATGCCCCCAAACCTTGCCATAAATGCTCTATGAATATTATTTTAAGTCGAAAATCTTGTGGAATGTATTTGTGTCCAGAAAACCCGTAACTTGTGGAACTCTTGTGGTGCATAACAATAATCTTAACAAAAACAATACGCTTGCATATGTAATATGAAATTTTAATAAATAAAATAAATGTAAACATAAAGACACTTTAAACAAACAACCAAACAAATAAATTACGAACCCGTTTTCGATGCATCGCTGTAACTGCAGCATTTTCGGTTCAGTCGCTTGATGTTACCCTTGACAAATTGCTTAAAATGATCGTAGAAAAGGCAAAGGCCTCTCTGTTTTGCCTCATTACAGATTGTCTGAATTGATGGCTTTGAATGTTGATGAATGTTATACCGATGGCCCAAAATGGTTGTCACAGTGGTCATGAAGAAAACTAGTATTAGCGCCCGCATGTTGAAATCTGCGATAAACCTCGTTGTTAATGTTGATATCAAGAGTTGAACTGATATCGATGAGGAGAGACGTGACTATTTATCCTCCACAAAGTAGGTGACGTCAATTGTTTTGACCAATCAAATGACTGTTTATACGTTAGTAGTAAGTAATAGGCCTACAACATGTGTTGTTACCATATAAGGGAAAACAAATGATGAGTTAAAATTTGAATATTTGATATTTAGCGAGTTAAATCTGTCATCGCATGTTAGATCTTGGCTCTACTGTCTTTCAAAATCGCTGGAAAAAAATCCCAATTTATTCTTGTATTTGTATTCTTTGCACCTGTCATACTGGGAACACCGGCTGACATGCCCTTCCGCTGGAACTGGACAACCAATCCATCTGGGACCAGCGATCCCAATGATATTCCGATCCTTATTGGACCACAGAACATTTTGTTCATTGATGTCCCTTTATTGTTACTGTGATGGTGATGACATCGTCAGTTTCTATTTGAAATGTGAATTGATCATTCAAATAACAATACCATGGTGATTGTTAGCAATGAATACATTTTCTTCAATTAACCTATTTACAACCCCTAAACAACGCAAATTATTCCCCAATGAAAATCCGCATAGACTTTATACAATCAGGATGCCCCCCCCCCCACACACACACACACACCCAGTAAAGTCTACCGTGGCTATTTTATATAACACTTTTCACGATAAAATGTACTAATATTGATTATTTCACATTTAAAGCAGAATAATAACAATTGTTGTAACAAACGTCACTACGATTTCATAATCAGAAAGGTTCTTTAATCAACTCATTTTTGAAAATCACTTACTAAATGGATAAAAGCAATTGTTTGTGAACAGTATGTTGACACTTTAGTGATTAATTGATCACAATTCCAAGACATTACGAAAAGGTTTAGGGTATGAACAGAACAGAACAGAACTTTATTCACAACTCAGATCAAATACATTTACATATTTACAAGATGGAGGCTTTTAATTTCTTAGTCAATGAACATAAATTTGTTAAGTATTATATTTAAAAACATACATAATTTTATAATTATTGATTGTTTGCTTGAATTAAAAAGTTTATTATATTTAAAAGTATTAGGTTTTGTATAATAATATCTGGATATATATTTTTCGCGTTCTTTAATAAAATAATTACAATTGAATAGGTAGTGATATTCATCGCCGACTGTATTTGCTTCACATAAAGGACAAATTCTTTGTTCAAAATCTACATTCATCCATCTCCCGACCTCAACAGGGAGTCTATGGTTACATGTTCTATATCTTATAAAAGTATATTTATAATTATTCGGCAGTGAGATAAGATACGGTTCTAATTTAAATTCGGTCTTATAGATTCTATAGTTAACAGATTTATTCGATTTCTGGATATTTGACGACCAGGTTCGAATATAATGATCTTTTAGTCGTTGTAACAATTCATATTTCAGTTTAACTGGATTTCGCGCCTGTTGTGAGTTCCATACATAACTATATCCACATTCGTCAAGGGTATGTTTGATAGTCATTAGCCATTTATTAGTATGATTTACATCATTTTTTAATAGAGACTTATATAATAACAAAGAATATTTGCCAGTTTTACCACTTATCATTTTAATCCAATAGCTAACCATTCTATGCTTAATATAAATATTTAAAGGGTATCTTCCAGTTTCACCATATAACATATACAGAGGGGTACTTTTTTTTACTTTCAATATATTTCTTAAAAACCGGTTATGGATAGTTTCTATGGGGGATATTTCCCCAAATCCCCATATTTCACAACCGTACAGTACAATCGGCAATATAGTATGATCAAAAAGTTTAAGTTGACAGTCAATTGGCAGATTGAGATTATGGATCCTCGAATACAAGAGGTATAGAGCTTTAGAAGCCTGGTTTTTAATTCTTTGTTGCGCTTGCGCGAAGCTACATCCTTTAGAGAATACAACGCCCAGATATTTCTAAATCATGATTCAGTAACGAGAAAGTTGCATTAGACAGGCCTCTTGATCCAAAAATCACAACCTTGGTTTTATTTATGTTTACATTTAGTTTCCATAGAGTACAGTATTCACCAAATATATTTAGCAATTTGTTCATATCATTTACATTGTCAGCAAATAATACAGTATCATCAGCATATAGAAGTACACATATTTTTAGATAGTTTAAAAGTTCATTTTCATAGTATTCTGTTTGGACGCCTTTGTATGTAACATAGTCTATACATCAGTATCTGGTGTGTCCACAGCGAGTGTCAATAACAGCAGCGCAGCGTCTGTACATGGAGTGGACCAGACGATTGATGAATGCCATTGGCACCTGGAATCACACTCGATGCGACATTATTAAGCCTCCTCTGAATTTCATCCCAAAGATGATCAAAGTCCTGACTAATTAAGGGCTGGCCAGTGCATAACATTGACACCTTTCTGCTGTAGAAAGTCCCGAGTAACTCTGGCGGTGTGGGCACGGGCGTTGTCATGCTGAAAAACGTTTCGATGATGTGCGAAATGTTGTATGACGTAGGGTCTGAGAGCTTGATCGATGTAGCGCACTGTTGTGCTGCCACCTCCCCTCCCTTGACCTAGATTTTGGAACACAACAAGACCCACTCTCTGGTTCAGGCTCATTCCACCCTGTAGAAAGTCTGGAGTAACTCTGACGGTGTGGACACGGGTGTTGTCATGCTAGAAAAGGTTGTTTCGATGACGTGCGAAATGTTTGACGTGGGATCTGAGCGTGATCAATGTCGCGCACTGTTTTGATGCCGCCGCCTCTCCCTGGACCAAGATTTGGGAACACCACAGGACCCGCTCTCTGGTTCAGACCGGTTCCACCCCAAACCATTATTCTTGGACCTCGGCAAGAGTAACGTTCCTTGACACATTGGTCAGAATAACGCTGGCCACGTCAACGCCATATTCTGGTCCTGCCATCTGCAGTTGGTACGCAATACCGACTCTCATCTGTGAACAGAACAGTTTTCCATTGCCTGTGTCGCCAATTCTGGTGTTATTGGACAAACTGTAGACGTTCACGTCAATGGCGAGGGGGTGAGGATCGGTCTACGACAATGGATGTGTTTATCAAATAGTGTACAATTGAGGGAGTACATACTTTGGGGAGAGAAAACGTCCATTAAATAAAAGGATAGATGACCACAAGATGACCAGAAGTGTAGCTGAACACTTGAACTCCAACCCTCGCCAATGGTCCAATGTAAAATCACTATGCAAGAATATAATTAAGCAACAAGAGGGTGCGCCAATTGCACGAAGCCATTCAAATACGACGGCACAAACCAACGATGAACAGAGATCAAGGATTGTTCCTCCCCAGGGCGTATGATATTCTTATCACATAATCAAAGGCTAAACATAATTAAATTTTATTTAATCATATTTAATACTTAACAATATTCTAGCAACAATTTTAACTTTGTAATGGCCACTATAATTTGTAAAAATGATAATTAATAATTGCGAACTATTTTTGCTTTTTTTGGCTTTTCAGGCCTGTTGTCATTGAAATTCAATGCACTTAATAGTTCAAATCCGGCCTTTCTAAATCACTATAGAATCCAGTGAAAATACTACTCACTAAGTCAAATAGTCGGCCTTCAGGAGACTATTGATTATTTGTGCAGTGATTATTCTGAGGGTTTTTCGTATACAGTAGAATCACTTGCATCAACACGCATATATCAATCATTTTAGTTATAATACCAATCAAATCTCATCGTCTTGGGGTGTAGTGATTATTAAAACCTGATCAAATCATTCTAAATACTCCACAACAAGTTATCCATTAATCATTTTGTTTTAATTTCAGTTCAATTGGTCTTGAATGTTGTTATTAGCGTTAAACTTTATAATCCTTAATTAAATTAGATGATTCCATTTAGGCAAAGTAATTAAGGGATATCTCTGGTTGGCCAGCATTAACTAAGTATTGTTGTATACATATATATTGTCCTGTTATATTTTCATATTTTATCATTGCTTGATAATAACTAGAGAGGCCTAGTCGAAACGTCGCTCAGTAATAAGCAGTAATTGTATTCCATAGCTACCTGTATAACATCTCAAAAGCCAGGTTGCGTTTTTGAGAACATTTTCTGGGTTCCATTCTGTGTTTGCGAAGGAGCCTTATTGCTCAGGAAAAGTTGGAGAAGTAAGAATGAAGTAATTTGACTGAAATTGTCAATATTTTCTTTTATCATATATTTTTTAATTGTTATAGCAAGAGTAGTCAACTCATTAGTAAATTGTGTCTTATATGCGTTAAAGGGTGGGTTGGATGGCCGAATGGTTAGCGCGCGTGCTTCAAAAACAATAGGGGTCATCCTTAGGGTATAAGGACTAAGTATTTAATTTGTTTAAGATGACCAGGCGAACCACCCACATACACACGCATACATGTATATGGTGTAAATCGAGGACTTAGACTGGATCTTCCTAATCGAGGTCTTGATAAATACTGCATGTAGCTGAAAACCACCCTTATTCCTGAACTCTATTACATTAAACGATTATGAAAAGTTATAATTTATACCTCAATTTATATATTTTATGCATTTGACCTTTTACGGAAGAAATGCGGACATGCAGGAGTTTGCAAATAATTGGGGAAACACGACCGGCCGAGTCCGTTACGCCTAACCGAGGACACGCATGGTGTAAGTTGGGAACGCCGCCAAACGAGGTCATTTGCTCTATACTACCATACTGTGGACTTGACACTTATTGTGGCCTTTAACCTGTAAATAACTAAGTTTTATTAATGTGGTCATCCGAGGACGCATATTATGTTTTAATACCGACAATTGGGGACTTTGTGTATGTTGAACACCAACAACGAGTACACACACACTCACATCCGAGGACGTTACAATAATATAATATATCAATAATATAAATTGAGTGGGATCAATACTCTATATCCGAGAACAGGTCCCCTTTGACCGCATGATCAGCCCACTGAAAGAATATTTTTTTTATTGATTCAGC